AGCCGCGCTCAGTCAGGCCGCTCGGCCCGGCCCGCGGCCTCCCGCTGCCCCCGGCGACCGCTGCCCCGTCCTCCACCCACGCAAGTACGGGTCCGCAGAGCCAGGGCTCCGCAAGCAAAACGTCCCGCACTGGGGCTACACTCACCCGAGCCTGGGCTGGCTAACCGCGATGCCAACGACTTTCTCCGGGAGCAGAAAGGGGACCCTGGTGGTAGCACAGCACGTCACGCCCAGTCTCGGGCGGCTGCAGCTCTATCAGCGACTGACAAACACCATCACCTCTCAAATGGTAATTTCTAGAGTCCGAGGAGACTCCAGATCCCAGGTACCGCAGAGCCACGGACAAGTTACAGCTAATACAAAAGCCCACGCTTTCTTCAAAGTCACCCGGAGGCTATAAAAAACCTCCTCTTGACAATTGTTAGGAAAATCTCATTTCATTTCCTAACTATTGCACCAATTATTCTTCACCGTATGAACTTGAATGAACTTTCTTAAGATACGTAACGGCATTCTGCATAGTTGTGGTTGAGTGAGCGTGACTAAAGGACCCTAACTCAATGCAAGGAGGAGAGGCCCCACCCCGAAGGTAACGACCTTTTCTCAGAGTCTTAAAAGCTGTCCAGGAAGAACAAAAGATCCCCCTGGACTACCCAGGTACGGCCAGCACCCTAGCCCCTCTAACACTTCGGTGAAACCCTCCCGTTATTTGGCATCATAGATAGGTAACTGCAGCAAGACTGACTCCGTGGACGCCCAGATCCAGAAAGAAGCAAATGGATAATGACGCCATAGAATTATAGTTGCTTTGCAAAACAGCAATGTGTGTGTGTGAAGTAGCGACTGGTCAAATCACCTTGTACCTGAATGCCTGAAAGGTGTACGAACCACGCGTAAAACTGCATCCAGGGTGCCCCAGTTTGAATGGGGCACCTCATGTGCATGAATAAAGGATTACTCTTGTAATTCCATACTCTGCATCCCAGCCTCTCTCCTCGACAGCGTGGGCCAGTTGCAAAGTTTTCATGACACAACAGAAGAGACGACCATCTCAGTCCGTGCTCCCTCTGCCCCACACCACCAGAGAAGAGGCCCAGGTACCGACACCAGGCAGCACTGCATGACTCTTGCCTGGTACTCTGAAGGGGATGCGTTGGCTTCGTCACCTCGCCCTACACAACAGACGGCTCGAGAATCCCCCTGCCTAACTTGCACACCCAGGTACTAACAAACTTTCAAAGCATTTCTTTTCACTGAACAACCCCACCCCACCGGACATTAAAGCCGAAACCCACCTGGCTGCTTCCCCCCTCCCCTG